GTGTATGAAATAAGCATGTGGTAAGAAAGAGGAACATGTTTATGCAGTCTTAACTGAAATATGATGTTAGAGACCAGGAATCTCCCAAAGCTGTTATTGATGGGAAGATCAATTATAAAAATAAGGACACACCATATATGGTAGGATCACATGATACTATAAATAGAGATACACACATGATTAATGCCTGATTTCAGGTCATAAAACGTCCAGAGAACAGAGACTTGTCACTTCACTTGCCAGTTCTGTTGCTTCTAAACATCTGAATTGACTCACATTGACAAGGGCAGTTTGGATTTTACCTTTGACACGAACCCTTCTTCCGGGTTCATACAGGTAAATTGGGGTGCCAGCCCTTTCTGGTTTTGTTACTGAAGAAATTGATGGTTGTTTGAGGAAGGCTAAATGGTCAAGTATGAAACAATTGGATAATTTTAAGGAAAACCAAACATTCACGTAAAGGTTTGAACTCTTACAGGGTTGCATAAACTCTCGCCTGTAATAATATTCACAGGTTTTTTTTTCCCTTAGGACAATTTAGCTTTGATAAAGTAGCCTTGAATGACAAAGTATAAAAGGAATGTCTAGGATTTTTTCCCTTCCCTCTACCTTAATATTAGCTTTATATCATCCAAATCACAATGATCCCATTTGTAGTCTATTCAATTAAATCATTATTGAGCCCCTATTGTATACAGGGCACCATTCTGGGTGCTGGGGATGTAACAGCTGATAGAAAAATCCGCAGAAGTTTCTCTGGAAAGGGCCAGACAGTAGAAACATTTTGCTTTGTGAGCCATAGGGTCTCTTAGTCAGTCAGCTCTGTTGTGGTCACATAAAAACAGCCACAGACTGGCTGGGCATGGTGGCTCATGCCTGTAATCCCAGCACTTTGGGAGGCTGAGGCAGAAGGATCATTTGAGGGTAGGAGTTCGAGACAAGTCTAATTAACATGGCAAAACCCTGTCTCTATTAAAAATACAAAAATTAGTCAGGTCTGGTGGTGCACACCTGTAATCCCACCTAGTTGGGAGGCTGAGGCACGACAACCGCTTGAACCCCGGAGGTGGAGGCTGCAGTGACCTGAGATTGTGTCACTGCATTCCAGCCTGAGCAACGAAGGGAGACTCCCTCTCCAAAATTTAAAAAAAAAAAAAAAAAAAAAAAAAAAGGAGCCACAGACCTTAAGTAAATGAATGGGAATGGCTGTGTTCCCACAACTTTATTTACAAAAACAGGTGTGGACCAGGTTTGGCGTCTGGGTGCCTCTGAACTGTAGCTGGCTGACCCTTTTCCTGGAGGAGCCTCCACTGCACTGGGGGTGGGAGGCAGGTGACTGACCAAGTAAGTTGCAAATTTAAAGCAGGGTAATCAGGGGAGGCTCTGTTGAGAAAGTGACTTTTTGACTAGGATTTGAAGTTGGCGAAGGAGTTATAGGTCCATATTTGGCAGAACATTCTAGAAAAGAATCAACTGCACAAAAATCTTGAAGGGGAAGAACCTGGAGGAGTGGGGGTACCCTAGATACTGGTAACCTAGGCTTTCACTCTGAGTGAAAGAGACAAGGGGACTTCACTGGAAGACTGGGGGCAGAAAAGCATCCTGATGTGATGTCAGCATATAAAGATGTGCTCTGTTGCATGGAGATCTCAGTGCGAAAGCAGGAGCCCCACCAGAGGATACCAGAGTGGAGCAGGCAAGAGGGCAGGGTGACCTGGGTCAGCATGAAAGAAGATGGTGCCAAGTCTTCAGTTTGGGTTGTTTTACAGGTACAGCCTAGAGGATTTTCTAACATGGTACTTATGGGATATTATGACTATGAAGCTTTATTAGAAATTGAACTATTACTGACTTGACTTCACAATTCGAGGCAACAAACAAGTGTTGAGTACAGAGTCTGTAGAAGGAAGTAAAAGTATAGGATAAAACATGGACAGGGGCAACTTCTGTTTTCAGTGAATACGGACACAGTGATTGGGACAAGTCAGTTCTCTATGCAGTCACAGGATTTCTCTTCTACATTTAAGTTTATCAAAGTGAAGATTCACTTCTGCAGAATGGTGTACAAGTCGCTTCTATTCCAAAGGGTGAACCTGATATGACTGGGGGCTGGTTGCTTTATCCCATAGGAGTATTTCCCAACGTGGGGCGGTACAAAGCTTAGAGAAGTGGTTTTGTGGCCAAATGGCCCATCTACTTTTTCTACTTGCTCCTACCTTAATTGGAAAAAAAAAAAAAAAATCAACAGACTCCTAATAAACATTATATCACCTCCAGCAAATAAAGAGAAACACTTCTCTCCTAGATCTGAGAACCTTTCTACAGTTTGTTCTCAAATAACCTGCCTTGCCTATCCCACAAGGCTCTCGCACAAACCATATGTGATTATGTGCATGAAAGTATTTTGCATAACATCTCTAAGATACCTAGCCACGTGGGCAAGGCAAGTGTTTTACATAAAGGGGAGAAACCCTGGGGAAGAAGTTTCAAATGAGGAATAAAAATATATGCACAGGTTCTCACATGGGCTCTTAGCACTTGGAAGACTGGACTGCAAGGCATCAACGGGGACAGCTGATCTCATCATTGGGCAAAAAGGTTAGATTATCTTTGTGGAAAGGCCACCTTTCTGTCGGGCGTGGTGGATCATGACTGTAATTTCAGCACTTTAGGAGGCTGAGGCGGGCGGATGGATCACCTGAGGCCAGGAGTTCGAGACCAGCCTGGCCAACATGGTGAAACCCCGTGTCTACTAAAAATACAAAAATTAATTGGGCGTGGCGGTGGGTGCCTGAATCCCAGCTACTCGGAAGGCTGAGACAGGAGAGAGAATTGCTTGAACCCAGGAGGCGGAGGTTGCGGTGGACTGAGATCATGCTATTGCATTTCAACCTGGGTGACAGAGTGAGACTCCATCTCAAAAAAAAAAAAAAAGGGGGGGGGGGGCCACCTTTCAAACTTTGGATATTTTGTTTGCTGATCCGGATATCAAGTAACTAAAAACTGTAGGAAGAGACCTGAAACCCATTTTGGCAACAAAAAGAGAAAAAAGCCTCCTGACATTTTATATTATGCCTTGAGCTTATGTATTTCCTGGATTGTATAACATACCATGACATATCAATTTCATTTTGAAAAATACATGTATTTAATATTTTCTGATTACAAAAGTATAGTGTTCATTAGAAAAAATTTACAGAATGAGTAAGTGTAAAATTCTAGAAAGTCTTAGTTCGCAATATGGAGATAATTTATCTGCCTTAAAATTGTGTTCCATCTCTATTTAATTTTTTATGCATACGTATTACACAGCTTCCTTTTGACACAGCTGGGACCATCCTTACATAGGTCGTTTAAAAAATCTTGCTTTTTCTATTTAATCAGATGTTATGATTCTCTCCCTTTGCCCTTATTGTTGAACAATTTTTTTTTCTTGGAAATGGAGTCTTGCTCTTTCGACCAGGCTGGAGTGCAGTGGCGCGATCTCAGCTCACTGCAACCTCTGCCTCCTGGGTTCAATCAACTCTCCTGCCTCAGCCTCCTGAGTAGCTGGGACTACAGGCACACACTGCCACGCCCGGCTAATTTTTTGTATTTTAGTAGAGATAGGGTTTCACCGTGTTACCCAGGCTGGTCTAGAACTCCCGAGCTCAGGCAGTCTTCCCACCTTGGCCTCCCAAAGTGCTAGGATTACAGGCATGAGCCACTGTGCGTGGTCATTGTTCAACAATTTTTAATGTCATGGAAACCTCATGCAGATACACCTTCATTCATTGAACCCCTTTTCCACTGACAGGCATCAGGCTTTTGTCTGTTTTTCTTGTGTATACAATGCTATACGGACAATTTCTAAACATTGCAGTTTAATAATTTCCTCAGGATACATTCCTAGAAATAAAAACTCTGTGCCCAAGTACACAATCTTCAGGTTTTGCAACCTATCGTCAAACTGCCACGACCTTTCTGGAGAGAAATTTATATTCCCAGTAGCCGTGTGAAAGAATGTTTATTTCATGTTACTCCTCTTGCACTTAGTACTGCCTTAAAAAATATTTGCACATTTCTCATTGTTACACATGCTTATTTTTGCTTTGATTTGTATACTTTTAAAAAAGATTACCAGTGAGTCTTCGATGATTGCTTCATGTTTCTGGGAGGTATTTCATTCCTGTGCGTTTCTGGAGTTTTTATCTTTTGGAAAAAATCACTCATAAGAGCCCTTCATATTGTTAGATTTTTACTAATGCTTCGTTGCTGGTTTAATTTTAGGTTAAGCCTTTCCTATCCACAACAGCAGAGGCCTTGTCCTCCCTCCTGGAATCTCAAAAGCTCAAAAATCAATTCAAAAAATTCAGGTAGAGGCAAACATGCCACCTACAAAAATGTTATCAACTCTATCCCTAAACAGGGATAGATGGGACCTGGGGAAGCCTTTTCCCACAGTTAAATGTTCTATCAGGAAGTTGTCTAGAAGCCAGAAGTTTAGACCTTGCTCTCTAGCCTCTCTGATTGAAATGCAAAGTCTATTTCCTAATTAACTCAGAACTTGTTGCTTGATTTTGATTTTGGATTTTTATACGCCCCAGTGCGTCCTGGTCTTGGGAGCTCAACTGGGCAGCTGAAAGGACACAGCAGAGAAGGGTAGGCCCCCGCTCCCAGGCCATTTGAAAAGACGGTGCATCTTCACACTTTTTTTTTTTTTTTTTGAGGCCTTCTGGGGTTGGCAGCCCTTTTAGTAGGCACAAAACCTGAGCGTGCATTTATTTTCATTGTCATAGGTTTCACTGTTGAGAACAAGGAAAGCTGCCTCTCACAGATGTTAAACAATTGATTGTTCAATGACTCTGCAACTGTGGTTTCCACCCTGCGTGTGGTGTAGCGTGTGCACATTTACACAACTTCCTTGGCATCGAAGTCGCTTAGAAGAATGCTTTGATGTGAGCAGATTTTCTGCCGTGACAAAAAACATAGCTGAGGTTTTTTCTCTCTCTCTTTCACAGTTCTTGTCTACCAGCCCCTGGCAGAAATCACCATTTCTTCGGCGAAGGAATGCTACTTTCCAAAATCCTTTGGCAGAATCTCCTAGAGATTTGTTTTTCTGCTTCCTAATTTAGAAAGTCTTCAAAGAAAAAAAAAAACTTGACAAATTAATGTGAGAAGAAACGAACTGTGATTTAATTTTGCATTTCTTTCATGAAAAGTTTATCATGTATAACCAATAAAATTGGACAAGATGATTTTGGGGAAGAAAAGTAAATGAAAATGTGTTATACCCCAAGATCAGACTGTTCTTTTATTCTGGGTCAACAAGTAACATGTGATACAAACTCAAGATTTTATTAAAATCATTTGTAAGTTAAATTAACATATCTCGGTGGTGAAGAAGATTTTTAATAAAGCAAAATAATGAGTTGTGTGAATCAACAGAAAGAGTGAAAAGTGTTAACAGTGACATTTAAATGGTTACATGATTTTAATTATTCTTTTGATAATAAGCAACCTTGTGATGTCTATTCAACAAAAGCCTGAGCCCACTATGGAATTTGCAGTTGAATAAGAGCTTTGTTCCCTGCTTTTCGTAATTTTAAAGAAACAAATGGAAATGGTTTAAAGACCTTACAACAATCTCCCACCTACCAAAAGAATCTAAAAGGTAAGGTGGGAAGCATTACAGAGTGAAAAGAAAAATAAAAAAGGCCACACACGCATTGTATTTATTTGAGAGACAGAGCAAGAGAGAATGAAGTGTTGGAGAGAGAAGGTGCTGGAAGGCCAGCCGATGCCAACCCCTTCCTTATCTGTTCTTGGCTGCCAGGGGCTTCCGGCTGATCTTCTTCGATTTGTCATTATTCTTCTTTGGTGGTTCTGGGTTGGCCTGCATGTGTCTGCCATAGAGGCTGCAAAGACAGAGAAAGGACACCATCAGATCTATTTTGCCAACACAACATAGCTTTCATTGGAAGAGCTTTCAGGAATAGAAGAATCTCCAGAAACAGTAAGCCAAAGAAAACCCAAAAGATCACTTCTGTGTTCTCTGGGTCATATGCTGTGTTGAATATAAAATTCTCTTACACATGCACGCCATGCCATGACATCCGATCACGGACCAGTCTCTTGGGATTTCACACTCACTGGGAGAACTGGTCAGGCCCTGCTCAGCCGTTCCGGACTGAAGTTCAAAAGCTTATGAGTGTTTAAGTCGACAATGATAAAAATGGAATTGAATGGACGAGACAGAGTGTCTATTTAGTGAAAAGTGAGCATGATGCTTGGCCCGAAAGCCCAGAGAGCAATGGTGTCCGAATCTGTGCTGGCTGCTCACCCATGACAGATAGCGTGGGGCGGGTGAACGCACATCAACGCCACATTAATAAGTACCGCTGATTAAATGCTGACAAAGTGCTCTATAATTATGGTGCATGGCATTCATGGCACAGCGAAGCTGGCTCTGCGGCTGAGAGGATTTCACTGAACAGTAGAAGGTAATTAATCGATAATTTATGAGTAATTCTGATTGAAACAAATTAAAAGCCACCCTAAAATAAATATAGCTCAAACTTATCTCCTTTTATTGATATAATTGTGTCTCCGGCCCTCTACAGCAAGGGCATACCCAGCTCCACAGCCTGCAGTTGCTATGAATGAGGTTTGGCACAGAGCCTGACGTCCCTGTACCAGGTGGCCCCGGCTCCAGTATCCACACGAGGAATATACACACTCTCTGGATGCCGGCGTCTTGGGCTGTTTAGCATATACTGGCGTCTGGCATTTTTGTTTTTTGAGTGTCTCACTCTGTTCCCCAGGCTGGAGGGCAAGTGGTACGATCATAGCTCACTGCAGCCTCAAACTCCTGGGTTCAAGCGACCTCACGCCTCAGAATTCCTGAGTAGCTGGACTACACATATATGCCACCATGCCTAGCTAATTAAAATATATATATATATATATATTTTTTTTTTTTAAGACTGAGTCCCGTTCTGTTGCCCAGGCTGGAGTGCAGTGGTGTGATCTTGGCTCACTGCAACCTCCGCCTTCCAGGTTCAAGCGATTCTCCTGCCTCAGCCTCCTGAGTAACTGGGCTTACAGGCATGCACCACCACGCCCAGCTGATTTCGCATTTTTTAGTAGCGATGGGGTTTTACCATGTTGGCCAGGCTGGTCTTGAACTCTTGACTTGCAGTGATCCACCCACCTCGGCGTCTCAAAGTGCTGGGATTGCAGGCCTTGAGTCACGATGCCCCGCCAAAACAAATTATTTTCATAGACATGGGGTCTCACTTTGTTGCCCAGGCTGGTCTTAAACTCCTGGCCCCAAGCAATCCTCCTGCCTTGGCCTCCCAAAGTGGATTACAGGGATGAGCCACTGTGCCTGGCCTCCAATACTAGTGTTCTGGATGACATCTGCACCATGGCTGACAGGCAGAGGGGAAGGGCTGGCAGATGGAACTGCCCAGCTGATTTTGCGATCCAGGAAAGCTGGACACTATGGTTTTGAGAGGCCATGCTGTATTCTATTCCAGTCTTCCAAGTGTCACTTTGGAGGCGGTACAAGCAGGTTCCATCGACAGTCACTCTCACGGAGTACAGAACGCAGGGTTCAGAGCTGGCCAGAGACAGACCTACGAGCCAGGGTGTGCACATCCAGCCAGGTGCTGGGGTTGCTCTCCAGGAAAAGGGGAGGCCATTCTTATGCATCAAGAAGGTTCCATATGTACTAGACAGAACATGAGAGCCTGGAAATTGGTTTTCCACATCTGTAGGAATTTAGAGGTCTTTTTGCTCGTGTAATGGAGACAGTAGCCCTGTCCCAGCTTCGGCGATACACACAGCTTCCTTACAGCCTCAGAGATCTTCCCTCTCTTTCCCAACCCCTTATCTGCACAGAGCAAAAAAATATGTATGTATATTCTTATTCAAAGATAGTTTCAAACTTTAAAGATTTTTTTTTTTCAGATGGAGTCTTGCTCTGTCACCCAGGCTGGAGTGCAGTGGCACTATTTCAGTTCACTGCAGCTTCTGCCTCCTGAGTTCAAGTGATTCTCGTGCCTCAGCCTCCTAAGCAGCTGGAATTACAAGCGTTTGCCACCATGCCTGCCTAATTTTTGTATTTTTAGAAGAGATGGGGTTTTGCTACATCGGCCAGGCTGGTCTCGAACTCCTGACCTCAAATGATCCACCCACCTTGACCTCCCAAAGTGCTGGGATTACAGGCGTGAGCCACGCACCTGGCCTCCAAACGGTAAGGATTCTAAAAGTCGACAGATGACTCCACAGTTCATGCCCATGGAAACCTAGCAATACTTGAGTGTAAGGAAAGGGTCTTGGCAATGATAAGAGGTTAGCAGAGGGAGAGGAGCAGTAGGAATTGAAAGAAATTGACAAGGCCCTTCTTCGTGTCATGTCTCGAATGAGGGAAGGGCTGAGGTGGGTGTGGGGGCTTCCCAGAAGGGGTGGGTGTTCAGCTGGGCCCTGACGATGGGAATCCAGGCAAGCAATTTCAGAAGGGGTTGCAAAAGCTGCAAGGCTCTTCTTCCTTTTTTGGAGTGAACTGGAATGTTCGTGTTTCAGTCTCTGCCTTTTTACATTCAGATCCCAGTGTGTGTGTGAACATCCTGGAGCTGCAGAGCAAGTCACTACAAAGGGCCAGGTGGGAGCCGGCAGCCATCAACTTGCTGTTCAAATCCTGCTTTTTACATTTATTAGCTGTTGACTCTGGGCAAATGATTACCAATGTTCGCCTCCCTCTCCATGCCTCAGTTTCTTTATCTGTAAGCTAGAGATGTCGTTTGTCTTCATTGCAGGCTGGTTCGGTAAGCCCAGCGCCATGGCAAACCTACTAGAAGCAGCCAGCGAGTGCTTGCTGAAAAGTAGGACAGACGTGGGGTTACAGTCAAGAGTGATTAAATCAAAATAATTATATGATTACCTTCCTTCTTTAGGGCTGTTTCCCCTGCAAAATAACACGGTATTTTCTATCAACGCTAAATCCCCAAACACCGCTGGAACAAAGGTTTTAATCCTCTTTGAAGCAAGCAACTAAGACAGAGCTAAATGCATGGCCCACTTCCTCAGTGAGTCATCGGCAGGGCTGGATGACGCTGCTGTCCGCCGCACGATCCTTTACCTCCTCCAGCTGTGTGGGCAGAGGAGCGCTGGCGTTTTGCTAAGCGGCCATAAGTGGCCATTTTCACGGGGATGTGGCTACGGCAGTGGCGGTGTAGTCACAACAAACTCCACAGTCTGGTGTTCCATTCCTGGCTCTGCCAGTGACGAGCCACAGGGCCTCAACTGGGCAAGTAAGTGTGGTAGATAGAATCACAGCTCCCAAAGGTGGCCACATCTGATCCCTGAAACCTGTGACTGTTACTTTCCATGGCAGTGGGGACTCTGCAGGCATGACTTAGTTAAGAACCTTGAGCTGGGAAGAGAATCCTGGATGATCCCGTGGGCTCAGTGTCATCAAAAGGGTCCTTATAAGAAAGCAGCAGGAGGGACCAGGTGCAGGGGTACACATCTGTAATCCCAGCGCTTTAGGAGGCCAAGGTGGGAGGATTGCTTGAAGCCAGGAGTTCACGACCAGCCTGGGCAACATAGGGAGACCCCATCTCTACAAAGAGTACACAAAAAAATTAGCCAGGTGTGGTGGAGCTCACCTGTAGTCTCGGCTACTTACTTGGGAGGCTGCGCTGAGAGCATTGCTTGAGCCTGGGAGTTTGAGGCTGCAGTGAGCCATGATCACCCCACTGCAATCCAGCCTGGCCATAGGGCAAGACCTTAACAATCAATCAAAAATAAAAACAGGGGGTCAGACTGAAAGAGATCTGAAGATGTTACACTGCAGCTTCTGAAGATGGAGGAAGGGGCTATGAACCAAGGAACACAGGTGGTCTGTGTAAGCCAGAAATGCAAGGAAACCTCTTCCCTAGAATCTGAAAGATGCAACCTAGCAACACTGGTTTCAGACTTCTGACCTCCAGAACTACCAGGTAATACATTCGTTTTGTTTTCAACTACTAAGTTTTTGGTAATCTGTTAGAGCAGCAGTAGAGAACTAACATAGTAGGTGAGCCTCTCTGGGCCTGACAGGGTGGCCTGTCCATGAGGATTCTGCTTAATTTCAATAGGAAAAATGAATTTCTGGGGTAAATTAGAAAGATGGAAAAATGAAAGAACCAAGATTCAGAGAGGCAAGGTGTGTCCCAAAGGAAAAATGGGTGTAGTTTCTATGAGAGGAAGTGAAAACAGGTTTGCAAATTGTCCCCTTGCTAGTATGAACTGGCTGGTCCCTGTCGCCCCATCCTCTGAAGCTAACACTCGTGGCTTGTGTTTTGCATGTACCTGGATTGAATTTGTAGCAGTGACTGACTACAGAGGACAGAGCAGTCAGTGCCATTGAAAGACATCCTATTCCTTGCAGTTCCTGAGAGGAAAGACAGTGCCAGACCACGCAGCGCCATGAGGGGAAGTGCCAGTGTTGGTGAAAAACGTTTGTCCTGACCTCTCGTAACTTGTACTTTTCCCTCAGGGCTTTGGTGAACACAGCTTCTCCATCCCCTGCACCTGGGAAACCCCAACCATCCCTCAGACCCTGGCACCACTGTCCCCTCCTAGACAGCGTGTACCCTGGGGGCCACCACAGCTCTCTGCTCACGTGGCACCTGTCTGGCCCTACAGGAGCCCACTGCACCCTGCACTGGGGATTCCTGGAGAACAGTCTCTGAGATTGACAATCACCTCTGCCTTCCGCACCCTGCTTGGTCCTGAATGATGTGTGCCCTGGGGAACCTCGCTCACCTCCAACAGTCTGATGTCTCCATCTGCAAAAGGAAGATGAAGATTCCCAGCTACCATGGAGGGTTTGGGAGAAGATTAAATCAGGGAAATGCTCTTGTTCGTTGGGCACACAGTAGGCATTTCACAATGACAGCTGCCACCTCTAACCTCTCAGGAAGCTTCTTTGACGCAGGCTACCAGGGCCAGCTCCTTCCATCTCTTGCAGGCTGCTGCCACGCCCTCGTGCTGCCCAGAATCTGCACTTTGGTGCAGATCTTTCTGGGAAAGCTTCGGCGGGCACTGCCACTCAGCTATGCCAGCTGGAAAGTGTGACAAAGGCAGCCTGGCCCAAGGTCACCCATGGGGCTTCAGCGGCTGGTGGGTAAAATGCTCAGCCCAGGAACTGGAGGAAACCCTTTGGCATGGAGCCCTAGAACATCTTCTCTCCCCTGAAACCCAGGATTTGGAGAAGAGAACTGGGAGACAATTAAGATGTGGGAAAAACCGAGAAAGAGCACTCTGAAGTGACACGAGAGGATCAATTGCTCTTGAGAGTCTGATGAATAGGCTTCTGTTGCTGAAAATGGTTTCAAAGATGAGATGCCTGCAATGCTCTCAGTCGTGGGAGATGAGTGAACCAGACAGCTAGGCTCACAGGGGCTCTAGATCTCACTGTGAAGCCCCAACACCAAGGTGGGAGTGGGCCCTGCCCTGAGCAGCCACCCCAGGAACCCTGCTGAAGCCCACCTGTAGAAGGATCATTGGGAAATGATCCTGGAGACTGCCTGGGTCGGCAGGCTGGTGGCCTCGCTGGTGTGCTGTGAAAACAGCCCGCAGACAGGCCGCTTCAAGCTCCTTGCAACTGACCACTGCCATGTATGGATGGCTGAGATTGTACAGCAAAAAATTCCAGTCTACTGTACTCAGAATAACTTTTGCAACATTTTCTTTTTGTAAGCAGTATGTATTATGCATGATTTTCTATTACACGACACGTGGATTTTTTTTTTCTTCCTGAAACAGGGTATGGATCTGTCACCCAGGAATGGCAGTGGCATGATCACAGCTCACTGCAGCACTGACCTCTGGCCTTAAAGGATTCCTGCCTCACCCTCCCAAGTAGCTGGGACTACAGGTGCAGACCCCCATGCCCAGCTTACTTTAAAATCTTATTGTAGAGATGGGGGTCTCACTATCTTGCTAGGCTAGTTTTGAACTCGGGCTCAGGCAACCCTCTCACCTCGGCCTCCCAAAGTGCTGGGATCACAGGCGTAAGCCACTGCGCCTGGCTGATATGTGGATTTTATTTAACACGGGCATCTTCAGTTTTGAAAAAACTGAGTCTTACGTCAGATCCAAGGACCTCACATCCCTTTGCTGCAACAGCAAGGAAGACCGCCCCTCCTCCCCCGCAATGCCCTCCGCCAAGCCACTCATTCTTAAAAATGTTCTCCCTCGGCTCTAGGATGTCACCCGGATTCTTGTTTTCTCTCTGGACACCTCATTGGTCCTTGTGTGTCTTTGTGTCTTCTTCCCATCTAATTTTATAACTTTCATGATTGTTTCTGAGCAGCCGCTCTCCAAGTCCTCATCCTCTTCAGCCCACTGGGACATGTTGGCTATCAAACCCCAAAAGGCAGGGAAGAATCCCTCACCTCACCTTCCACAGCTCTGTCCCTCCATGTCTCTAGAACTTCAGGAGCAGATGCTGAAGTCATTTTGACATTCTCTCTTTTTTGGTCACCATACTAATCAGGTCTGATAGAAGTTTAGTTTCTTCAACAGTAGACGTTCTTAGCCTAGGACCCCAGAAGTGTCTGAAACTCTAATTAAAGTTGTATGTGTATATTTCAACAGAAAGGGACCACAGCTTTCATCACCTCCTCTAAAGATCCGTAACTCATTAACTAGCTGTTTTATGGCACCTCGTTTATTCTTATTTCCATCATCCATTCCTTTTTTCTCCTTATCAGGCCTATGTGACATGGCCATTCAATTATTATAATGGTTCCCTCCTTGGTCTTCCTGATGCAGGTGACTTCCCTTCCCAGTGTGTCCTACACAGGATGTCTGCACAACTCTTCCTGGTGCATGCATGAAAAACAGCAACCTCTGGCTGCTGGATGGGGTACCCAGCCTGGCACCTGGCACAGAGCAGCCACAGCGCATGCGGTTGGGGGACCTGGCTCGCCCAGTGTCCTCTCTCTCTGCACTAAGGCAAGCAGGGCAGCGTGCAGGAAAGATGGAGTGAGTGTGAGTTCTGTCACTTACTAGCTGCGTAGCCTCAGAGTCCTGTATCTTTCCAGAACCTCTGCCATCTGAACTGGAAAAGGGGAGTATTCGCCCATTATCTACCTGGCGGGTGAACTGATAATCAGGTTGTCCTGGGCTCACTGAAGTGTTTTGAAAAATGAAAAGAGGGCTAAATCAATCTGAGGCCTGAGATAAGCCTTTCCCGACAGCCAACATTCCTTTTGGCTTGTTTCTGTTGTTGCTGCTTATCTGCGTTATTAATGCCAGGAATGCCTGCTTAGGTCCCCTCTGCAACTGTCCGTATTTTGAGGCCTTGAGGACTTTCACAGCTTCCTCCTCACCTTCTCCATTCTGCTGTCACAAAGCCCTACGGGATGTATCAGAATCTCATCCCTAAGTCCTTGATACATAAAGTGACTCCTGCCCTTGGCGTGTTATCTCAAAACATCAGCAGGGTGCTGTGATCATAGCACGACATTTCCAATGCAGCTAATGTGCATTCATTATTCACTGCTGCAACAACCCAACGAGGAAGCTACTATTATGATCATTATTTGTCAGATGAGGAAATTGAGGCTTAGTAGCTTGAGGCTCTGATAAACCCAGGCAATGACTCCAAAGTCCAAACTCTTAAAGCACTACGTTACCTCATCTCCCATCTTGGTTTTGTTTTCTTAAGAAGCCTACCATTTTCTGCAGGGCAGGGAGTGCAGGCTTAACTTCTTTTGTAGTCTATACACTCCAGGCACTGCTAGAAACACATTGTGTGCTATGTAAATATTGTCTTTCAGAATGCCAGGTATATGAGAGGTGCAATATGCTGTTCTGAAGTCGTTTGCTCGTGTCATATGTATCCCTACTGTTGTTTTGGGTGTTTCCATGGCAAGTCCTCATACAGACCAAGAAAAGAACCAATTTTAAAATCGCAGGATATGGCCAGTGAAAATAATGGAGAAAAATAATTTTGCTTCTAATCTGTAATCTTCTGGTAGGATCCTAAATTTAAAATCTCTACAAATAGATCTGCGGACAAAGTGTGAAGCCGAGATTATTAATAAGCACTTGGCAATAGCTTTATTTCTCCTATCCAGCAGCTATCAGGGGCTGGTGACAGAACCTGAGCACGTAAATTGCTGAGCCCTAAAGAAAAAAAATTAACAGTTACCCTAATTCCTGTGAGAAGTCTCATTAATTCAAAAGGATATGATTTTTTTTTTTTTTGAGATCAAACCTCCAAGAGATTGTTCCATGCAATTTACGAATGGCAGCGTGTGTCTGTCACATTCTTCTCCATTATAACCTGCTTTCTGTTCCCAACATAGTGGAGAAAGAAAGTATAAACATGCATGTGCAAATGGCATCTATATAAACAGCCACAAGGAAATGTGTAGTTGGCTTAAGACAGATAGCAAGCTATATGAAAAATAGGCTATAATATATAAGGCAGATTTCAAAACAGCCATATATTTTAGACTCACGATCTGCCCCACTGGAGGGGAGAAATGAGGATTCTGGAAGAGCAAAACTAACAATATCATGCACAAAAGATGCTCATTAAACTTCATCATCCTGTCTACTCTAATGATGCTTTTACTTAATAAAAATTCCTGGAGCACTTGCAAGGATATTAGGCAAGGTCTTTGGTTATGTATCAGAGGTCCAAGCTGTCACCAGCAGGCATGCAGTTCAGGAGGTATGTTCCCTGGGGAAGGAGCTTTCACGGAATACATGCAGAGAAAAATCAATAACTGCAACTTGCTTCCCTGCTTAAGCATTTAAGAAAATAGGTAATCCTTTTAAATTAAACTGCAAAGTGCTAAATGTTGCAATTTCCAGAATAAACTCAAAGGCAAAAAGGAAATCAGTCCAAGGGCACTGGTAAGTTTCCCAAACAAGCTACTTCCCTCACAGACTTCATACCTGGAGTGGATTTCTTTTATTTATGAAAAGAAATAATTATGTTAGTACTTGGCATCTGCAGAGATTAAAAAGAGACATCCAACTGTATATGTGCTTGTAATACAGCGATACACAAACCTATTCATAAATATAAGGAAGTGAGGAATTATTTTCGTATGGGCAATTTACCCATTTAAAAATTATTCTTCAAAAACACTACTATGAAAATCCACTAACTTGAATCAAGCTCTCAAAACCTAAGTAGTAATTATCTAATGGACCTCTTAAACCAGCTAGCTGGATGATGATAGGATGCAGTCACCATTGACCACTTTGATCCATATTAACATAACCTGCTTCCGACTTTATGCCCTGCCAACACAGAATTAGCTGGGGATGACTCTGGTCGGGGCAAGAGTGAGGCACCACCCCAAAACTTGAATGTATGGGGAAATAAGGTTTTCCCCTGCGTGTTAAGTAATAAAAATCAACACAGAATAGATCAAAGCAGAAACATGAAAAGTCACCCAAAATAACACTAGCATAACTCCCAGACCAGCGCGCCTCGACTCTAAGCAGACCAGGAATAACAAAGCTGGAGAGAGAACCTGCCCACCAGAGTCAGCACTGAAAACGGGGGAGAAGATGCAGGCAGTGGGGACCAGCGGCTGTGAGTTCTGTGGATGCCCTGGCGGGACTATGTGTCTAGAAGGAATCACCGAAAACAACATGGCACTGCCCACCCAGAACACGCGATCCACACCTGCACGGTCTAGCTTCTGGCCAGCTCACCTCCATATCTTCTGCCGCGACCCTCCACGCCCCTGATCCCAGTTCCTTAGGGGCTTCTGTTTCCCACTGCGATTCACTCTACCTGGAAAGCTCATCTCAAGGTCCCCCTGAGACAGGCGCTACTACCATTCGCATTTGACAGGTGGGGAAACAGAGGCACAGAGTTTAAATACTGTGATGTGACCACAGATGTTCAGACTCCGGGGTCTGGCTGTGCTTCCCTGATGTTGGTGTCAACATGACTCAGTCTTAGGTCCGTCAGGGTGTCCTGTCACCCTGGGTACCGTAGCTGGTTTACACACAAGCACGGGACCAAAGAGAGCCAACGAGAAAAACAGGCCTCATATCGGAGCTCAAGCCGCGTGGGAAGAAAAGTCCTTTCTTTTCTGTTTTACTTGAAGTAGGAGGGATGAGCCCAGATCTGCCGGTACCCTGTCCTAGCACTGTGGTGAGAGAGCCTGCTTGGAGGAGAAACCAGCAAAGCAGAAGGGAAGGACAGACAGGGTGCCCAAGGACGTTGTGTGGGTCCCCATGCCTAAAGTCAGCTGTATTGCTGGAGGATATTTAGTGTAAAATCATCAAATAATCCCCCTCCCTCTTAGGCCTTGTGTTCCTTGTAATCAAAGCAATGCTGAGTCCTGACTAACACACCATCACTCTGGTCTACTGCAAATGTGAGTTCCCTAGCCCGGTCGTCTTTGCCCACACTTTTCTATCTTTGACTATGTTCATTCCCATCACACCACTCATCACCATCTAGTTATTTATTTGATGTCTGTTTCCTGCCTCCCCTGATAGAAGGTTCATTCCTAGAGCACCAGAGCCTTATCTGTCTTGTTCACTGTCCCTGGGACACACTAGAAATGTTTGTTGATTGACTGACTGAAAGTATATATAGCTGCGTTTACTAGGAAGTATTATAGGTATCCAGATACATGGATCCCAACTAGATCATTAGTGCCTCTGGGACCAGGGACTAGGCCTAAATCACTTCTGTTTCTCCAGTGCCTGCTGCCTCGTACACAATTGTCACCCCCAAAATATG